GCTTTGCGCCTTTCCTGGAGCTCACTTGGTAGCCCAGGCTGGCCTCGAACTCACAGAGATCCGCCTGGCTCTGCCTCCCGAGACTAATTTTGTTTTTACTGTCTGTATATAAACTATGTGAATCTATTGGCATCATTTTCTGACTGATTCTAGTAAGTTTAGCAAGCCAGGCCAGCAACTATGTATGGCAGTTCTAGGCACGGAGATGTTGACCACTTGAAACATAACCTGAATGTGAAAGACACTACATTACATTTGGAGTCACTCTTGATGTGCAAACCATACACATAAAAACACTGATTTAAGGCGGGTGTGTGTGTGTGTGTGTGTGTGTGTGTGTGTGTGTGTGTGTGTGTGGTGTGAACATGTGTGAGCCCAGCACTTGGGAGGCAGAGGCGAAATGATCTCTAGTTCCAGGACAGATTGGTCTACAGAGTGAGCTCCAGGACAGCCAGGCTTCACAGAGAAACCCGTCTCAAAAAAACCAAAGGAAACAATCAAAAACCCCACTGATTTAAATGTCCACTAACAGAAATGAATAGAGAAAACATAGCATCTTAGGCTAGGGAGATGGCTCAGTGGATACAATGTTTGTTGCTCTAATATGAAGACCTGAGTTGGATCTTCAGTACCCATAACCCAGCACTGGGGAGGAGTAGACAGGGAGATCTCTAGGCTTCACTGGCCAGACAGTCTAGCCGAAGCACCAAGCTCCAGGTTCAGTGAGCAATCCTGTCTCAAAAGATAAGGTGTAGAAGATACTCAAAGTCAGTTTTGGGCCTCCATTCATGCACACACAAATGAGCACACTGGGCGCGCGCGCGCGCGCGCGCACACACACACACACACACACCAACATTCTTTTGTTTTGGTTTTTGAGACAGGTTTCTCTGTACAGCTCTGGCTGTCCTGGAACTTGCTCTGTAGACCAGGCTGGCCTCAAACTCAGAGATTTTTCTGCCTCTGTCTCCCAAGTGCTGGGACTAAAGGCGTGTACCGGGCTGGAGAGATGGCTCAGAGGTTAAGAGTACTGACTGTCCTTCCACAGGTCCTGAGTTCAATTCCCAGCAACCATATGATGGCTCACAACCATCTATAATGAGATCTGATGCCATCTTCTGGCCTGCAGTCTTATATGCAGACAAAATACTGTATACATAATAAATAAATAAATTTTAAAGGCATGTACCACCACCATCCGGCCCACAAATCTTATTAAATAAAACAAACATGGAGCTGGAGGGATGGCTCAGTTGTTAAGAGTGCATACTGTTCTTCCAGAGGACCTGAGTTCAGTCTCCAGCGCACACATAAGGTGGCTCACAACCTCCCATTAACTCCAGCTTCAGAGGATCTGACTTGGGTACCTGCACTCACATGTAAATACATCTAACATACACACATATGCACACAATTAAATATAAATCAGCCGGGTATTGTGGCACATGCCTTTCATCCCAGCACTCAGGAGGCAGAGGCAAGCAGATCTCTGAGTTCAAAGACAGCTGGTTCTACAGAGTGAGTTCTAGGACATCCAGGGCTACACAGAGAAACCCTTTCTCGAAAATCAACCAGCCAATCAACCAATCAATCGGTCTTAGTCAGGGTCACTATTGCTGTGGTGAAACATCATGACCAAAGCAACTTAGGGAGGAAAGGGTTTACTTGGCTTAACTTCCACGACATCCTTCATCATCAAAGGACGTCAGGACAGGAACCCAAACAGGGCAGGAACCTGGAGACAGGAGCTGATGCAGAGGCCACAGAAGAGTACTGTTTACTGGTTTGCTCCTCTTAGCTTGCTCAGCCTGCTTTCTTGTAGAACCCAGCACTACAAGCCCAGGGGTGGCACCACCCACCATGGACTGGGCCCTCCCACATCAATCACTAATTAAGGAAATGCCCTACAGGCTTACCCATAGCCTGATCTCATGGAGGCATTTTTTTTTTTTTCAGTTGAGACTCCTTCCTCTCTGGTAACTCTGTTGTATCAAGTTGACATAAAACCAGCCAGTAAAAAAAAAAAAATCTTTTAAAAATATGCACATAAGCTGGGCAGTGGTGGCGAACATCCTTAATCCCAGCACTTGGGAGGCAGAGGCAGGTGGCTCTCAGTGAGTTCAAGGCCAGCCTGGTCTACAGAGTGAGTTCCAGGACACCCAGAGCTGTTGTTACACAGAGAAACCCTGTCTCAAAAACAAACAAACAAACAAACAAAAACCCACATAAAACAAACAAACACACAAAATGTGGTATGTCCAGATGGTGGAATATTACTTATCAATAAAAGGGACAAATAAGTGATTCATTCAGAAACGTGAATAGATATGGAAATCATCACCCTGAGAAAAGCAAGACACAAAACTGGTCGACATTTGTGTAAGATGTAATTTAATCTGTGGTGATAGCAGCCCAGTCAGATGACTCAGCAGGTGAAAGCATTGCTGTCAAGCTTAATGGCCTGTGTTTGATCCCCAAGACCCACACTGCGGAAGGAAGGAATAAACTCCTGCAACTTGTCCTCCGACCTCCACACACACATTGTGACCCACACAAACCTTCTGTCTTAGCCAGTGTTCTATTGCTGTGAAGAGACACCATGACCACGGTGACTCTTAGAATAAAAAGCATTTAATTGGGGGTTGCTTACAATTTCAGAGATTTAGGTCAATATCATTGTTGGGGACCCCCCCCTCCAGACCCCACCCAGAGAAAGCCCACCAAGCAGCGACTCCTCCCCCGGAGCTCCTCAGCCACCTGTTGTTCGAATCTGAGATGGTCTTTTAATAAAAATCCGGGAGCCAGATATTGGGGTGAAAGCTGAAAGATCAGAGAATCAGAGCAAGCCACAGCCAACCTCACCTCATCAACTCCTCAGCCAATCC